TTTGCGTTAAAAGTTGCGAATTTACGGTCTCGAAGCTAGGATTGAGGTGGTGGCTGCGGAGTTTTGAGTTTTAGACTGTGCTGAATGACGCTTTCTATCCAGCGGCTGCGGTCTTTCCCTGCGTTCAAATTTCAAAGTCCGTTAAGACTGGAGGTTCCGCTGGTTACTCAAGCTGAGACATTGCGAAAACTGTGGTGCCCGTTGATAACTCTTGCACAAAGAACTGTTTGCGCTTAAAAGATACCAGCGCACAGTTAACTGGCGGCTGTACGCAAGTTATGCGCCAAGAGTTGGACGAGATGAGGCCTGCAAAAGTGCGAAAGCACTTCAAAGTACTTAATGATTTGAAGGCAGATTGAACCAGAATGGCGTGTCCGCAAAAACGTAGTTGCAGCAGCTACCCCATGGACCAAGGAAAATCATTTTTCGGGCTCAACGTGAAGAAACTCAACCTTTGCTCAAGCTTGGTGGTTTTGCTGTCTTTTGCGCAGCTGCTGCAAAATTATTTAAAGCTTCCTGGCTCGAAAGTCTGGCTTTTCTTTTGCATTGAAACAAGAACTCAGAAATTCTGGAAAAGTCTGCCGTGAAATAATGCCAGATAAGCTTAGAGCAGAGTCCGGACTGTCACTGTGCAAGTTTCAGTCCAACTATCTGCGGCAAACGCGTGAATTTGAAGAGCTCCGCTCCAGCCGACCAGGATGTAGGGCAGGAAGAGGTGCAGGAGTTAAGGTGTTGGAGAATGATGTGTTGCTGGGTCTTTGGAGCCTTTTTAGCCGGCAGCCTGCAGCATTTGCCGCCGGTTGCGAGTCTCTGCCGCATCAATCGATGTTCGAAAGGCGCATCGTCTTGTCAAAATCCACCCTGCTGATCGGGGTCGTCTTTCCTTTGCTTGGAGTTCTAGATTCTTCACCTGTAGGAATCTCAACTTCGAGACTAGACATTCTTCGTTTTGGTGGACTCGAGTTGCAGGCTGCCTGATAAAAATTTCACATGCTGCATGATTTATCTTCGCCGCTTGATGTGGGATTATGTCGACGATTTCTTGGCGGAGTTCCAGCGATCCGAAGGTCCATGGTGGCGCCTGAGTGTCTGGGTAGTGCTTTTCCTTGCCTTAAGATGCCAATCTCTTGGCACAAATGTGCATATGGATCTACAGTGACATGGCTAGGATGGTCGGTGAATTTGCAGTCCTGAACTGTTGAGCTTTGTGTCTCCAAAGTGGACGTCCTGCTGGCTCAGCTGGAGGCTGCCGCCGCTCTGTAGTCTTGGACCTTCGCGCGGGCGTGCGGGAAGTCTCAGAAGGTTATCCCGGCTTCGCTGGTCGCCCATTGGCAGGGCGAAGGAACCTCACAGATCATTGCCCAAGCCGAAGCATTTGCGCTGCTCCTTGCGCGTAACGTGTGCAGGCCCTTCTTGAGGCACCGCTTGGTGGCCTTCTACATCAAAAATGAGTCAACTCGCTGTGCGGTGACCCGGGGAAATAGCGCCTCTAGAACTCTCACGCGGATCGTTGCAGAATTCCTTGGATGTGAGTTGGAGGACAATTGCGTCTCAAGGGTTGAGCGCGTTCCTAGTGCCAGCAACGTGGCTGATCTTCCACCAAGCTTCTCGGCTCAAGTTTTATTTTTGTTGGGGTGGGGACTGGCCACCCTTGAGCAGCTCAAAAGGGGGCAAATCTGGTACATGTGAGACGCAGTGCGCAACTGTATGAATTCAACTGTGCATGTCAATTGTGGTGCTTGTTTCTGTAGTTCAAGCCAATAAGCCAGTATCAAGTAAACCGATTACCATTCTTCCTGCCAAATGATCTCAGCGGAGACCATTACTTTCATTTGCCTTCACATTTAGTGCATGTACGTGCTGAATTATTCAGGACAGTCTTGACCTTCATGATTGGTTGGAGTGATCTTTGGTCCCCTGGGCGTACTGTTGCCTTGTAGGGAGTGCCCATGTCTGACCATGCAAATTCCCCGTCTGCGGAGGAGGATTCCAGTGGCAGAGAGGCCAGGGATGCAGAGGAGGAATTCCGTGAAACGTGCTCACGAGCCGTGGTCAGCTTGTGCACTAGGCATCACTATGATATGCTGCTGGATAAAGACACACAAAGAGGAATGGCAGCAGCATTAACGGACATCTTGCGAGCAGGATGTCAGGTGAGCCCTGCGCGAGGTTCCGAGACCACATTCTGAATCTGCTACCTGTGACCCTGCAAGACACCCTACGTAGGGAGATTGATCTACTGGGTGCAAACTGGGATACACCTCTCCTGCCAAATGACGTTTACATCCTACGCAGGAGCTTGCCGGATGAGTTGCCGGAACAAGCAGAAGGCATACAGTATGCGCAGGATCTCCTAACGGCTCACCTATCTGGTCATGGTGATGACAATGGCAGACGTTGAGACTATAGTCAGACGCACAAAGCACATGCGAGTGAATGCGGCCTATGAATATATGATGAGATCCATGCCAGTGGAACTGCGTATAACATTCATAGCCTGGCTGGCGAACTGGAGAGCAAGCAAGAAAAGGAGGAGGTCATGAGCAATTGACTTAGGGTGCCATAGTGGGCCCCTGATGGAACCTTCTAGCACCATGTTTACTTGATTGTATCAAACCCTGGGGTTGCCTGACCTCCACTCTCTGTTGGCCGTGAGCTGAATGATTACGCAAATACTGGCTACATTGATCCTTTACACTACGTTTGGCATCTGCCACGCTTTGCGTGCAACAAATAGGCTGGTACTGTGCTTGGGAAGCCACCTCCGGCCCCTACTCCAAGACAGCAATGTCACTCAGTCGCGCTGTTGCACCCTCCCACAGTCAGTGAGCTTCGGTTCTTGTGGGGTAGCAGCTGCGTCGTTTCACACCCATTAGCATTTGCTGCCACTGAGCAGCCGCGGCCAATGTGTCGTGTAACTAGCTCGCGACTGATGCTATACGCGCACTCTCCAAAAGTTGCAAAGTGGTGGAAAACAACATGACAGAACGGGCACACATGTGACTCTACAAGCTCCAACACGCAGTGCACACAACGCTCCAATAGGTTTCACTCGTGTCGAAGTTCCGTACACAGACGCTGTTGGCCATGCCTGCGAAACGTGTACCTCCTGACCTCTACGGACCTGGGCACCTGATTGCATGTGTGCACGGCTGCGCACGCTAAGGAGATTAGTGACCCTAGCTGGTCGCAGCTGCATCCAATGCATGCTATTCGGAGTTTTCGAATTTGTGTCGCAGAATGGCATAAGCGTTATCACCAAAATGATGAACTCACACATCAAGAGATGTTCGTCCCATCTTCAAGAGAAGTCCAAATGCATCATGAGCATCAACAAAAAGTTGGCTGTACCAAGCACGCTCAAGAAGTGTGTAATGATACACAGCTGACTCAGTGTGGTCAGACACGCTTTGCAGGCACAAGAATAGTCATCATCAGCATGAATTGTTCAAGGTTCGCTCTATCCCATGCCTTATGCACAAGTAGCACAAGTGGCACATTTGCAAATGCCCATAGTGCTGCACTCGATCTTCCTCATTGATGAAGATCACACGTTTTGCACGCCTGAGGCCATCACAATGGCGATAAGCATGCACTCTACGGCCGCTGACTGGGGCAATGTACCATCCTGCATGCAAAGTCTTTTTAGTAAGAACTCCAAATATCAGAAAATATAAAAGTATAAATCATTCATTGAAATCACAATCATTGTAACGCACACTCTTTTCTTGCTGCAAGCTCACGCTTGGTCATGGGCAAAGTCAGGGGCCACATGTGCGAACACTCCCCACCTATGCATCGGTGGTTGTGTCCAGGCCCTACACCCCGAAGGATTTGGCCACAACGGACCCGATATTACTCCAGGGTTGGGAGGCGGGAAAGAAAAATTTTCTTCCCTACGCAACACTTGAACAAGCCAGCGCGGGAACATGCATGTCTGCCCCAAACGTCCAAGCATGCATGGAAGAAATATTTTCGCAAACATGTGACAAAACTTCCTACAGGAAAACACAAAAGGAGTTTTAGAAGTCTTGGAGCTGCACTTTTGCAGCTTTCAAATCAAAGACAATTGTGTCCCTGACGGGAATTCGTCGTCTTTTAGATTTGCAAAACATCTATTTAAGAACTCCAAATATCCGAAGATATAAAAGTACAAATCATTCATTCAAATCACAATCATTGTAACGCACAATCTCTTCTTGCTGCAAGCTCACGCTTGGTCATGGGCAAAGGCCGGCAGACGAGACTTACAATGCATGGCCAAGAGGTCCCACGGCAGGTCCAAAGTACGGGCCAAAGACTCTGCTAAGGACATGGCCTCTTTGTAGTGATCGACAACACGTCCCTTTACGAGCTCAGCAGCTGCAGTACACCCGTCACGGGTTGGAAGGTCACTTTTTCACACCTTGAACCGCAGTGGTCTGGTCTGACCTACTCGTAGACTGATGGTTAAACACAAACTTTGGCGGGGTGCAAAAGTATGCACTTTCTTACTGGTGGGTGTGGTGGTGATGTTACTCCAAGTGTTTTGGGCCACATGTTTAGTTCCACATGTTTGTGCATGACATATATGCTCCGGTAGGCGTCTGAATATGCAAGAAAAAATTATCAAAGACCCAGACAGACCCCATCACAATTTGTTCGCTCGGCAGATGTCAGCGTATGAATCTTGCATCCCAACGCTTGAGAGCCATGAGGTCAGTTGGACGCATCCGCAGCTTTCTGGCTTGAGAAAGCTTGGGCATTTTAGTGGCGAATAGCTACTTGCCCAAGGTGAGTCCACTCCTCCTTGGCCGTTTAAGGCGCTTTCTCGAACTTCATCCATACAGTTTTTCGAAGCATCCCCACCTGCGCCCCAACTCTCGAACTTAACCCCAAATCTGCAGCGCGCCCCCCAAACTCTGAACTTTGCATTGGCCCTATATCATGGTTCTATACAGAGTTATATAACCTTCTCGTTATATACCCTACCTGTCTCTGACCAGGCGTTCTTTGTTCCAATGAAGTGGCTGTGGAGCCCGGCGTTGCTTGTGGGCCTCCTGCCGGGCTTGGGTCTGGCATACAAGGCAGGAAAGGTGGCCCAAACAGGGTCTTTTGAAGGTTAACGGGATGTATAAGGCGATATCGGTTTATATCGGGAGGGGTTATATGAGGTTTCGGTTTTAGAGTGGCTTGGGAGTTTCGGGGTTTTAGGATTCAAAGTGTGTAGATTTTTAGGGGTTCAAGGTGTAAGTTACGGCCTCGTTTGGGAAGGCTCAAAGGTTTTGTTCGTTGGGGTGTTGGGTGTGAGTAAAGGGTTTTGACGTTGGTCAGGTCCACAAAGCGATGAGTTGCTTGGATGTGAAAGGGTTTTCAGCTGGTAGCTTGAACCTTCTTTTTTCTTGATGGCCAAGTGAGTCCTAAACCTTAAGTTAAACGCTAAACATTCCCGACCCTTAGTCCTTAGCCCAAAACCCTCAAAACCCCCTTTTTTCAAGCACAAAAACCCGCCTGACCGTAAGCTTCCTAACCCCACAACCAACAAATTTCCTCAGGTCCTGATCTCACAGGATCCAGAGGCGACCGAGCAGCTTGACCAGACTTCGCAGTCCGAGGAGTTGATAAAACCCATGGATTTAATAAGTGTAGAAATTGAGGTTCAGGGTTTCGGAATGGGAAGCCGGGACTGCAGTCTTCAGGATTTTCTTCCAGTTCAATTTACTCCCGAAAATGATTGAAGCCTTCAAGCCCTGAACCTTCAAGTCTTCCTAGCCCTAGAGCCCAGACACTGAAATCCAAACACTTCAAACCTTTCTGAACCCTGAATCCTCAAGCCTCAACCCTAAATCTCAGACCTTTAAGCTTCACAGCGAAAGTCAAAAGACCCGGCAGCCTTCAGGAGTTGGACGAGCTTGATGCCCCAGAGGGCGCCGTTCCGCTCTTTGCACAGCTTGCAGCAGCAATCCCTCTGGTGGGAGCTTGCCAAGAGGGCGTTGGGGGATGAGGGTACGCAGACGTGTTACAGGCTTGTTTTAAAGGGAGGGGTTTTTGTAGAGGTATGTAGGGTACCCTGGCTTGGTTCAGGGGAGTTTTTGCGAATTGAAGAGGCATCAGCAACGACTTGACACCTCCTAGGAGAGCCCTTTCAGGTTTGCCAGAACCTGACGAACTTCACGGGAATGATCAGCGACAAGGGAGTCCCAGCAAACGAGAACATCACCTACCATGTCGGGTTCTTAGAGAGTGACCTGGAGATGCTTTCGGACAAGGTGAGCGGCTACTACACGGTGCTTCACGAGATGTTAGGGGAAAAGGGCCCGACGCTTTGTCCACGAGGAAAGCAGAGCCACATCAAGGTTCGGGCTTCAAATTGAAGTTGGGAGCTGTTATGTCTTAGGAGGGTTATGCATATGGGTAGGCGTAAGACGGGTGCTTCATCAGGTTGCCTAGGCAAAGAATCCTAAGCCTTCAACCTCAAAATCCTTGGGCTCCAGGCCTTAAACCCTGCAAGTAAAATCTAGCCCCACGAGGAGTGCCTCAAGATGGGCATCTGCTTGTTGGAGGAGCAACCTGGCAGACATGGGAGTGCCCCCAAGTGGGTAGTTCCCTCAACTAGGGTCCTATTTTGGTATCCCTAAATGTTAGGTGCCCGAATATAAACTTTGGCCAAAGGGGGACCATCACTTTGAGAGCAACCCAAAGCAATGAATATTTGAGGTTTCGGGTTCAGGGTTACCCTGCGCTCTCAAAACAGATAGCCTCGCGCGCGTACTTTTCGGTTGCAACTCATACTCAAGATTCGGGATGTCAAGTTGTAAGGGTGAAGGATTTAGAGTTGCACAGCTCAGTTTATTGGGGACTGACATCAGGGTTTTGACCATAGAAGACCAAGTGCCTCGGGGTCAGGATGGGGCCCGTCCAAGGCTTTGTGGTAAAGGTTAGAACCAGTTCATGGCTTTTTGATGCCACGTGGGGAGGAAACCGGTCAAGTTATCAGAATGTTACATTACATTCCTGCAATCCCTCTAATGGCGCCAGTGTTTTTGTGTTTTGAGGGATTCTTAGCAGGTCCCGTTAATAACCGCCAAGATTTCGAGGCATGTGCCGGAAGACCTTGAGCTGGCGCAGTACACGACTTACCTGGAGCTGCTGAGTTGCAGTTACACCATTTTGTTTGATCCTCCCTAAGCCGCCATAGTATTGAACCCTAAGCCCTGCACCCCTAAACCTCGAGAATTCAAAACCCTGAACCCAACACCGTGGAGGCTAGTCACGGCTTTCATCGAGATTGGTTGGCCGGTCCTCAAAAAGGGTTTGCTCTTTGAGGAGATGACCCCCCAATTGCACGAAGATCACGTGGCACCAGTGGCCTGCCTTGTTGAGACACAGGAAAATAAGCACGGTTTGGGATTTAGGGTTTGGGGTTTAGGGTCTGAATTCAGGAGGATGCGTATTAACATCCTGTCACATCCCCAAACTCCAAAACCCTACAGCGAAAGCCCTAAGCCCGCCTCATAGGCCATGATGCGCTAAACTCCTGTACCCAAAGCCCTACGCACCCTAAGCACCCTAACATCCCAAAGACCGTAATCTTGTACAGCAGCAGCGAGTGGAAGTATCTCAAAACTACCCGCCGTGGAATCTCAAACGCGGACCCCCATAATTTTCTGGTGATTCTATGCCTCAGGTCACGAAAGGCCCCTCGATGCGGAGCAACCCCAAACCTTCAAATTCCTAAAGAACCAAAACTAAGCCCTAAACCATCCTAAACCAGAACCCGTCTTAAGGGCATTGACATTTCTGGCAAGATTAGGAAACCTGCAAACTTATAGCCCTAAACAGTAGTTTCCGTTTTTCCATTTTTCTCAGATAGCCCTAAATATAATGGACTTTGGCAAGGTTAACCCCAACACAATCCCCTATGTAACTCCTATTATTATACACCTATACAATATAGTAGTTTCCATTGTAACACCAATATATACCCCAAACCCTAAACAGTATGCCATAGTGGTTTCCATTTTATTTTCCCATATCCCCAATATAATCCCACATATATAGCATACAACCCCAATATATACTTATAACCCTACAGAACAGTGTAGTTTCCATTTTCTCTTCAATTATCCCAATATAACCCCACTATATACCTTTTGGCAAGGCTCTGTACCAGTGCGATGAGCTCAAGCATCCCGAGAAGCCCTTCGGCCACCCGCCCTTGGCCTTGCTGCAGTCGGATGCCAAGGCCAAGGTTGTACTTGGGGTTCCCAGGGCCTGGGGGTTTAGGGTTTAGGGGTTTAGGGTTTAGGGGTTCAGGGTTTAGGGGTTTAAGGATGTAGGGGTTTAGGACTTAGGCTTTCAGGGCTTCAGGAAATTTGCCTGACAGTAGCATGGAAGTTCATTATTTGTGCAGAACAGAGTCTTGACATATGCCTTTTGTCTTACATCCTAAATCCCTAAACCCTAACCCTTAAACCCTAATCCCTGAAGCCCTAAACTCAAAATCCCAAAATCCCTAAACCCTAAATCCCTAAATCCCTACATCCCTTAACAAATCCTTGATTCCTGACAGTCCTCAAGCTCCAACAAAGCCTCGATTCCTGACAATCCTCAAGCTCCCCCTGCCTAAACAACGGTAAATCATCCCAACTCCTAAATGGGGGACCTCAATATAGATGGGAAACCCTGGGCCCTGAACCCTAAATAGCTAAACCCGGAATAGTAGCTTCCATTTCCTTTTCCATTATCCCTATATAACCCCTATATATCCCCTACATACCCTTAATTTTGGGAAACCCCTAAATCATTCCAACCCCAAGGCTGCCCGCACCTTCGCGATGTCAGCTGCATTGAGCCAGGCTTCACGGACTACGCACGAGGTGCGCTTAGGGCTTGGGATTCAAGGTGTAGGGCTTGGGGTTCACGGTTTAAGGTAGGTGCCCTTGCGGGAGTGCATCAAAGGAGTCACTGTATAATCCTGCCGGGGAAGCCTTGGGATGACCCCCAAGAATCCCTAGAGTCCTTTTTCTTGAAGCCGTAGAGTTCCTAATGATATTTATCCGTATACCTCTAACACCATGAAAATAGTTTCCCTGTACGGACCCTTCCCCAAAATACAAAAAGGGTATACATTTATATATATATATATATATGTATATATATTTGTTTTTTCCTGGTCCCTCGGTCCTCTAGTGCTTAGTCCTTGTGGCCACCCTGTCCCTTTCAACATCTGTACTTTCCATCATTTCCTATGACTTTCATCATTTTCCTTCTCCTTCTTCATCATTTCCATCAGTTTGCATTATTTTTCATCATTCTTCACACTTTTTGCATCAGAATCGCGCTCTCGTGTGAGGCTTACTTCGATTCCGGGTGCCCAGCATCCCCAAAAAAGACATCTCCTCCCGAAAAAAGGTCAACAACAAAACCTTCACCCAAAATGAGGGCCTAAAGCCCACACCCTCCCTCCCTAAACTCAAGGAATCCTAGGTGCTGGACGCGCATGAGGCAAGCTCCTCCGTGGACGCCACCGTGCAGAAGCTGCACCAAGTCTCGGGGTCATGATCGAGTAACGTTTTGTTTGGAAGTTTCTCAAACTCGGAGGCCTAGAAAATCAACAGTAAGGTTATATAGAGATTGTGAGGTCGTTGCAGGAGTCCTGCCAAGGACTGTGTGGTGGTAAGGTTTGGGTGATAATTACGGGGTAGTTTTCGCCAGATGGTCCTTACGATAACCTTAAGCATTACTCACTACACTCATGACGGCATTGCAGCCCTGGTGACCCCTGGGCCTCAGGGTACCCCACTTGAGTGACCCCTGGCTCTCAGGGTACCACACTGGAGAAACGGCCACTTCTGAAGAGCAACAGATTGTCGTTTTTGAAGATCATCCCTACACCGTACACTCTCCCCAAACAACCGCATCAGACTTCCCCTTAACATGTCCTAGCGCCAAACCCTCGAGCAAAACTCACAATCCAGGTCTGGCATCCCATCTGCAAGGACTTGCTGGTGCATAGTGTTGAAGGAACGGGGGTCGACAAGTCATAGGGATGTTTATTGGGATTTATACCAGACCCCCACTAAGCCCTGAACGGCCCGAAGCCCGCAATCCTCCAGTCGTTTCCATGTCCTTTTGCCCTTCCCCTTTTACCACAGGGAACCCACAAGAGATTATTATTACCATTATTATTACTAGTATTACTATTGCTATTATTATTATTATCATTACTAGTACTATTATCATTGCTATGATTACTATTACTATTGTTATCATTACTATGAGGACCTGGGATGCGATCACAGCAGTTTCTGGGATTTCCATTTCGCCTCGCACCGGCAAACCTTGGCCCTGATGAAGCTGGACTCCGCGCCCCACGTCCGCGCGGCAGCTTGGGCTGAATTAGTAGTGATAGGGTACCCATTGGGGTAATAGTAGAGGTATATTGGGGTTTTATGGGGTGATATGGAAAAGCAAATGCAAACGACTATAATGGTCTTTGGAGTAATTAATAGTGAAGGTTCCGGGATTTGGGGGTTTCCCAAAATTAGGGGTACTATTTTGGGGGTCCCAATAATAAGGACTACAGTATTTTGGGCTCTTTATTGGGTCCCCCTTTAGTTTAAGGAAACTACCATTTATTGAAGCGGTTGGCGGTTTTAGATTTGTTTTGTTTGTTGTTCGGAGGTTTTGGGTATAGGGATCTAGGGAATCTAGGGCTTTCAGTTTTGGGTTCAGGTGCAAGGTCTACGGATTTGGATTTGGGTTGTGGACTCTGGCTATTGGGAATCATTCTTTTTTCAGGGTCTATCGTCATTTGGCAAGAGTCGGCCGGGGGCTTGTTACAAAAGAGGCTTTGATATTTGCCCTAAACCCTCAACCCCAAACCCTAAAATCCTTACATACCATTTGAATCTCCATTATCCCAATATTCTATCAACCTCAAATATCCCCAACCCTAAACCCGAGACCCTATCCCCAGCCATCCTGAAGCCCACACAGGAAATCCAGCAGCGCCACGGTCTGCACAAGCGAGTCCTTCGCTTCGTCGAGGACAATCACGGCTACTACGGACAGACCCTCGGCTAGGAATCCTCATGGATCCAAGGAATACTATAGGGATTGTAAGGGGATATTATTACTATTATTTTTATTATTATTACTATTACTATTACTATTCCTATTACTATTATTAGTATCATTATAAGGGGATAACAGGGTGTGAGGGGTTGTGCAGGGGTTGCTTTGACAAGCAGCCCATCTAGCAGGCATATAATCCGGTACAAGAGGGTGGCAGTTTTTCTGGGTGCACGGCTGCTTGACATGATCCCCAAACCGTGAGCCTTATGCCCTGAACTCCAAGCCACCCTTTCTCAAGCGCTAAATTCTAAGCGATAAGCTCTCAACCCTGAACCCTAAACCCGATGTCCTAAATACTGAGCTTCAAGCTGCCAAGGCCTAGGTATCAGAGAGATGTGAGTCGTCTGCCATGGTTTTTGCAGACATCACGGGCTACCCCTCAGGTGGTGTCTTGTTGAAGGGGGTATGTTGGGGCTCGTACTTTGAGCAAAGTCATTAGGGCAACCCTAACCCGAAACCCTTGATTTAACTTGCGTGCTTACACCTGAGCAGTAGCACGTGAACTTTTGGTCTCAAACCCCATATCCAAAGGCCTCAGCTTTAAACCCCAAACCTTAAACCTTGGAAGCCACAACTTTCAAATCTAAAGCAATGACCTCGCCTTCAGCCCACCGAGGATCAGGAATTCCAGCTCTCCCGGCCGAAAGTTCTTAGACCCGAGCTTCATCCAGGCAAGGGTGTAGTGCCTAGGGCTTAGGGGAATTAGTATTTCGGGCTTCTGGCCTAGGTTAGTGGTTCAGCGCTTATGCGGGTCTAGGGTTCGGATCGAGGGTTTGCGATCAGGCATGACGGTTTGGGGTTCAGGGTTAGAATGGGGATTTTGGGTTTGCAGTGTTTGGTTCGGACCTTAATGTTCGACGCTTAGAGCTTTAGTGTTCAGTCGTGCTGACTATCAGTCACTGTCCAGTCCGATCTCTCTCCATGCCTTCTCCTCTCCTTCGATCTCCCTCCCTCTCTATGCCTTGCCCCAGAGCGCAGCGGTTAAGGTGTGGTTCAGGTGCTCGAAAAGTTATGCCTTTCTTCACATGGGTCTAGAATATGAGCACTATGTTTGGACATGCCAAGCACCATCCTCCCCGAATACGCCCTACAACCTTAAGCCCTAAACCCGGATACCTCAATCTGCACTAGAATCCCCTGAGCCCCCCCCGAAAACCCTCAGCCCCCTAAATGCCAAAACCCTAAACTCAACCACCCATTGCTCCGATCCTCATAAGCCACCCAAACCCCAAACCTTTGGAGGCCTCTTCCAGGAAGTCTTTCCAGCGCTACGCCAGCAAAGGGCGGGAGTCGATGATGAGGTGCACAATAATGGAAAATCAAAGGATCAAAGGGAAGATGACATGGAAGCTCTAGGTCCCTCTAAGGGGTTTATAGGGTATGCAGGAATAGTACTTCGACAGTGAAGAAGCAAATGGCAAATAACATTGATACCGTAGAAAGACAGGTACATGGGGACCTTTTTATAATCCCAATAATGGAAAATCAAGTGGACAGGCAAATGGACCATGACGTGGAAAGTACAATGCCCCGTTATCATGCGGTAGTTGTCTTTTTCCAGTGTTCCTTTAGGGGAGTCAGCACTTTACGTGAAATTTTTAGGGACTCAGGGTAAAGAGGAGTCAGTGTTGAAGATTGAGATTGGGTCTTGGATCCAGGGTTGAGGTCGCGAAATCCCCAGGAATTACTCTAATTCTATGAGCCCTACAAAGCCTATGAGCCCTATAAGCCGTGTGAACCTTGAGCCCTAAACTTAAGTGGAGAGGCCCCTCGTGATCCTTTGGCACGTGCTGAGCCCCGAGCAGAAAACCAAGACGGAAAGTGAGTGTAGTCTTAAAAATCAACCTGAGCTTGCAAGTGAAGACTTTAAACCTGCTGTTCTTGATGTACTGAGCGAATGGGATTAGTTGGCTAACTCGGCTAAAATAGACCCTCGAGCTTAGTGCTAGGCACAGAAAGAGTCCACGGGGTTTCAAAAGAACCTAAGTTTGTTTTTTTGGGTTTAGTGGTCATGTCTTGGTATGACCAGGTTCATGCTGCCCACCATGAGAGCTCTCGCCAGCACAGACGAGACGAGGCTGGAGGAATAGAAGCAGGGGATCCTTTAAAGGGGGATATAGGGATATTTTAGGGATATTATAGGAAGTATATGGAGGCTATAGGAATCCTGCAAATTCATGCAAATTCGAGACCCTAAACCAAAATAAGCAGGAATTCTACAGGGAAGATGTCATATATGGCCATAATAAGAGAGGCCAACACGAGGTCTGGATGTTATGATTCCAAACTCCACATCCTTGCAACTAAGGCATTTGGGGGTAAAGCATCTACTACTCTTGACTCCCCAACCCTGAAGGCCCTTGCATCTATTGAGTTCAGCGGATGGGTAAGTTTGACCCCCTAAATCTCTGAACACGCCCTGCAGGACCCGTGGGATTTCTACTGGACCACAGATTGGGCCCCAAAAACCTAAGAATTCCAAAAATACACAGCCCAACACGTACTGCCAACAAAAGCGCCAAGCTCAAACACACTAAGCTCCCCAAGTCTGAGTACACCCTCAAGGCCCAAAAGCCGAAGCCCTTGACAACAGCTCAGCCCTAGACCTTAAACTCTAAACCCTCAACCCCAAAAACCCCAGACCTCAAGCAGCAACCCTGCTACTATGTTTCATCTTATTCCTTGTGTACAGGTTTTTTGCTCTCATTATATCTGCTATTGTTTCTGAGCCTCCATAGAGCTGAAGTTCAACCTTGCCATGTCCGGCAACAGGGCGCTGCAGCTCCTGGATCAGGCCTCCCTGCCCACCTTTGGGTTGAGAAAGGCTACAGGGTTTTAGGGACTAGGGCTTAGGGGGTTTGAGGTATTTTGAGGTTTTGGGGGTTGAGGAAGTGGAGTGTTGGGTTGAGGGGTCTGGGCCTTAGGGTTAAGGGATTCGTGATGAGGGTTTGGGGATTAACAGTTTGAGGGTAAGGGTCAGTATTGAATTGCCGCGCTTTGCGATACAGGTTATGGGATTCCTGTGTAGATGTACTGATTTACTTCCATATGAGTCCATACCCTACATTTCACATGTATGTATGCCGGAACCATCCCAACAGCCTAAATCCGAAATCTTCAACCTCAAACCCTAAACCCTACATCCTTAACCCTAAATCCTAAACCCAAAAGCTTACTGAACATTTGTCCAAGATCCCCAAGCGAGGTGGAGTTTCGGAAGTTTCAGAAGCGAAGGCATCGACAACCGCAGATGTACCATCAGGAGGTGCAGGGTTTGCCCTCCCCCAAAGTAACCCGGAGCCCCTTTTGGGTTCCTTTCCTTTCAAGAGGAGAAGAGGGAACTCCAGGGCTTAAGGCCTGCCATCCTGCCAGCAAGTATGTGAGAGCAGCGCCCTAAGTCTGAAACAACCCTAAACCTAAAACCCAGTTCTTTCCCTGGAGGACCAGCACCAAGGGCATGAGGACCGATGGGTTTTTAGGGGACAGTGTTGAGCCAGATGGGTGCCTCAGGGGAGGGCATAAGTGTGAAAAGTGAGTTCAGGGTCTAGGTTGTAGAGATCCACCACCTCACAGAAGCTTAGGCATCACCTGGAACGGGGGTTCGATGTCTCCGTGTCCCCGCGTAAAGAGGGAACCTGTGAGCAGGGGGATGCTTACAGAAGATTCTATGAGGGTTACTGGAAAGGAAGATGAAGACGAGCTGAATGACGGGGAGCGCAGCATGCTCAGCGAATCCACCGATGAGGATCCTGCAGATGTCGAAGATGAAGAGCCTATGTACCTGCAGGTTGCAGGGCTACAGTTGAGGAATGTGTGTGGGGGTTGAGACTCAAGAGTATACATTTATCAGGAGGCTCATGGATAATCAGAACTAGGGGTATAAGCGGTTTGACCTCAACGAAGCCTCGAAATTCAGCTTCTGGTAACCCGGCTTTGCCCCCTGTGTCCTTACATTAGTGTACAACTCGAGATTCAAATCACTTCGCCTGTTCGACACACCGTGACACAGGGTTGAGGGTTTGAGGGTTTGGGGTTCCGGGCTGAGGGTAAGGGGTTCAGGGTGGAGGGTGTTGGGTCTAGAGTTAATGTCTGTACTGGACAAGGGCATTAAAGTTCTAGACGGGCATCTCTTAAAAAAGGATCCTGCTGCAAGTAAATCATTTTCAGCAACCCCCAGAGCGCCCATGGTTAACCTAAAGCCCAAACCCCAAATCCTAAATCCCAAGCCACAAGCCCCAAACCCTGAACTCTAAACCCTTAACTGCAAAGCCAAACCTGCGGAACACGTGGGAAAGGTGTCTGACAGCGCGGAGCTTGAGTCTACATCTGGCATTGAAGGTGGGAGTTTGCAAACAGGATTCAGAGCATAAAGCGTTGGAAATCTGGGGTATGGAGTTAGGGAGCTCCCGAGTAGTCTCTTGGTAATCCCTAAGCTGTGTCTTTTTCGCCTCCACATGACCCCAAAGAAGCATCCCAGCCCGTTAAGCGATAAGCCCTGACAATGCCCAACTGCTGGCCACCAAAGGCTTCCCATAGCTCATTTTTACTATCATTACTATTGTTTTCGATTCGTTATTACTCATACTATGTTTTATACTTGTGTGACTCTTATTTGCCAGGTGGTCGCCGTAGGTCACGCCGCAGGAGGAGCAGGAGGCACCTCGGCTGGGACCAACACCGGTGCCGCCTCTACCACCCCAACAGCAAAACAGGGGTTCCCCATACCATGATTCTGGTGCTTATACGGAGCAGCGAAAGTCCACGGTCAGGGTGATTGCAAGTTTGGAAATGGCGTTCGAGTTATCCTAACATATTTCTGTTTCCCCAGCCTCAGCCTTGAAGTGTGGCCTTGGATGAAGTTGCTTGTGCAAGGAGAAGGAGAAGGTGGATCGGTGGCAGAAGACGTCGCAGACACCGGAGGCCCAGCTTTGGATGTGTTTGCATCTCTCCGCAAAGCCTTCAGCCCAACGATTTGGGGTATACAAGGGTTTTACAAACCGCATGTATCTTCACCTACTCCTTGTGAGAAATCCGGTATCAATGTCGACTCCTTCAAGAGTGCTCTTACTTTGAGATGCTCTCCCAAACACTAAATCTTAAATCCTACGCTGGAGCTCTGACCCCTGGTTCCATGTCTATGCAGAGGCTGGCAGGATGCTCAGAAAGTTTGCAGGTTCAAGGGGTCGGATTAAATATCTTGCAAATGCTCTAAGCCTCAAGCCCCAAACTCCACCACTTAACCTTTAAACTCTCCAAATCACTTACGGCCTAGATCCCACAGCCCAAGCCCCAAGGCCGAAACCCAGCAACCTCAAACCCGAAAAAGACGCGAGGAGGATTTTCGAAGCGGCTGTGGCGGCTGTGGCCAAGGTGGTGGAAGACGTGGTGGAATTCATGGCGCAAGGCCCCGCTTGCTACTGGGGAATAAGGGAATATGTTGGGGTTGTATATGTACATGTAGGGTTTAGGGTTGGTAGGGAATGATATAAAGGAATATACCATGGGAAAATCAGTGGAAAATTGAATGGAAACAAGGTCTATAGGGGTAACATAGGGCTAGTTATTGGGGGCTAGTTGGGAAGAAGGGAAGATATTGGGGTTATAAAGAGATAATGGAAAAGAAAATGCAACATACAGTATTATCATCGGGTTTGTATTGGTTTTTTAGTGGAGAAAGGATTTAGGTTTCCCAAATGTTTGGCGCTTCAGGTGTGTGGGCGTTTGGGCAAAGTTTAGGGCAAAAGGCTCAGGGTTCAGGGTCTGGGGTTTAGAGTGTAAGAATTTAGGGCCAATACAGTTTGGTGTGTAACCCTAAACCCACAACCCTAAACCCTAAACCCAAAAATCCTAAACCCTAAACCGTGTGGTGTGTTGAAGGTCTTGCCTGCATGGGCACCGCGGCTGAGTTCACATCCACTGGCTACCCGGCAGTGTTTCAGTCTTAGGTCCTTATCTCTATCCCCTAAAAGCTAAACTTCCCAAACCCTGGTAACCCTAACATACTGCTACAGACCCCAAACTCTAAACCCTAAATAACTCCCTATACAACCCCCTTAAAGGAGTTTAGACTATAGCTCACTTTGAACCTAAAATGCGCTCCCTTCATTCCAGGCTACTCCTACGAGGTCGCCCCTGGGGCTGTCTCAATGAATCTGGGACTTTCGACTGGTTCTGGACAGAGCCTGGACAGGCAGGAGCTTCTAAACATTCCCAGTCCCCAGTCCTAGGGCTGGGCCAAGGTCTTTAGGAGTTATGTAGGGGTATGCAGGGCTGGGGGTTCCAGAGAGGGGGGGGGTTCTTAAAGCAGGTGTTATGTATAGCGTCCGAGAAGGAACCGTCTACCAAACTCTTATGTAGAACTCCAGGAGTGCGCACGAAGAACACTGTCCGTAGGGGTTCCAAACATGTGTGGGGTACAAACCTCGAGCCTCATATATCTCATCCCCTACATACTCTCCATATACCACTGTGCAAAGTGCTCTGAAAACGGTTTCCAGGTTTGTTTGATGGAGTGTGCCTCAGGTCCGGCACTCTGAACCGAAGTCCTGAATCCTAAGCCCTAAGTCCTAAACCCTCAGCCTCGACCTGAAAAGGTTGGTCCGGGGCCACCCACCAAGTGCCTTTATCTCAGTGGACTTTGGCTTTGCCGTGGGGATCACCGCGAAACTCACTTGGAGTGGTGCCTGTGCCGTTGTTGAGTGGCAGGACTAGCATGAGAGCGATGAATAGGCTTCAGGATTTCGTGTGAGGCCTGGGCTATTGGTGAGTGGAATTTGAGTTTTGAATAGCGTTCAGGCTTCAGGGTGGTGCCTGTGCCCTTACTTAGGAGCCTGTTGAGTCTTCATGCGTACCTGAACGCAGTAAGGAACAGGACAGAGTGAGGATTGGAACCCTTAATTCTAAGTTGCCGGAATGATCCAGGTGTTGGCTTGGGCGGAGGTGTCGGCTGCAACGTGGACGGCTGTTCCGCCTACATCACGGTCGCAGCGGTTGGCTCCGTGAATCTTCCAATGGTCACCGCAGCCTGTCCTTTCGGGGCTACTCTGGGTTCGGCCACCTGTGCTCAAGCATTCGGAGGCGGCATCTCCACAATGTGTTGCAACATGAATTTGCAAACCGGAAGCAATGACTGCCGCTAGCTGATGCTAGCCGTCAGTCCTTACGCATTCTTTGACAAAGTTGCGGACCGGGCCCGGGCAGGAGCAAAAAAGGCCAAGTTGCTGACCTCGCTGCTATGCACACGGTTGCAATCTCCGTGTACGTTACCAGCGTCTCTTCCCCGAAGACCCCTGCGAGCAAAGAACAGCGTGTCTGAGGACTCATTGAACATTGATAGATGACAGCCCCTCGTTCAGCTTCTATGACATACATGAGCTGCCCATGTGGAAGTTTTCAGGCTTACCCTTACAGTAGACCCCCAGATTGCTGCGTCATTTCCATATATTCCCGTGGTCCTAAGGGCCCTCCTGTTCTGAGAAGCCCTCATGTGAGCGAGCTGTGTAGCATTGCTGCGAGGTGTATGCGGTTGCGAACTGAGAGTCCACCATGAACGTGACGCAATTTTGGTGACTCGCTGTAGCAAAGGACCAGTGCCCTACATATCATGGTAACTTGTTGCAGCAAGATGTGGCAGGTGTGCGGATTGGGCCAAAAGCATAGCATAGAACAGAAGGGAAGGGTGTTTTCAAGACATCTCATCAACCTTGTTTCGGGTGTACGGACATTAGAGGGCCTCTTTTGCCAGTCACCTATAATATGGATTCTACTAATGCAGGTGCATAAGGCAATCCCCATTTTTTGGAAACGCCCATGTACATCCTTGTGTGTCAGCTGGAGACATCTGCAGCTTTCTGGCTTGAGAAAGCTTGGGTTGTTTTGTGGTGAACAGCCAGTTGGCCAACGTGAGAGTCGACAACTCATGTGCGCCTTTGCCCTTTAGGCGCCTCTTTAAATCGTGCCTGTCGCGATAGAAAGATTTCAAATCGTAATCCAAGACCCACTTAGCCTATCCCTGTGCTGACCTGAATTATTAAGGAACCCATTAACCTTACTCAGCCCTAAGACCCAAATCCTCCGCCCCAAAAAAAACAGACCCGACAGGCGATCCCCTCTTTGTTCCAATGAAGCGGCTGTGGAGCCCGGCATTGTTCGTGTGCTGCCTACCGGGTGTGGGCCTGGCCTACAAGGTGTGGAAGCAGCCCCAAAGGGTGTCCTGAACCTTGCGGTGAACCCCAACCCCAAAAAAGCCCCTCCCCAAAGTCGTAAAAGATCCTTGAGCGGCGCCAGGTTCTTTCCTCCCAGGAACCCGAGCAGTTAAACCAGACGTTGGAGCACGAGGAGCTGATGACTGCGTACCGGGAATATATTGGGGGTTCATTGTTTATATCGGGATAATGGAAATTAGCATGGGATCTAGGGTTTATATAGGGGTTATAGGGTATATATATATATATGTATATATATTGGGGTTATGTAGGGATAATGGGAAAGAAAATGGAAACTACTACGTTATAAAGGGGTATATATTGGGGTTATAGTAGGGGATAAGGTTTAGGGTTTAGGGACGTTTAGGGTGCAATGGTGTGGCCTCAAAAGGAAAGCCATGTACAGCCTAAACCCTCCAAACCCTGCAGCCTAAAGACACCTAGGTGAGCACCATAACAAGACTGTGCAATAATTGAATCTTCATTACGGTGGAGAAAAGGTCCCATAGAAAAAGACACCTAAAGCACTTCCTTTCAAGCCGCTACCAGACCAAGCAACCTGCACCCTACTGTAAAGACACCTAAACCACAGTAGGAGTTTCCATTTTCCATTGTCCCAATATAACCCCAATATAACCCCAATGTAACCCCAATATACTGTACTAGTACCAGACCAAGCAAGGACGATGCGCCGGAGGGCCCCGTTCCGCTCTACGCTCAACTTGCGGCAGCAATCCCACTGGTGCGAGCCTGCTAAAAGTTGCGGTTGGGGTGTGGGTTTTGGGGTAGCTCTAGATTGATGTTGGGTTTTGGGTGTAGGGTTGAGGGTAGGGAATGTTGCCATATTTTAGGAGCTTACATTTCGGACTCGTGCACCTTCCAATTGCCAGGGCCTCAAGAGCAGGCCGAGAATGGCTTGAAACCCCTGAGGTTTGCCAGAACTTGACGAACTTCACGGGCATCATCAATGACAAGGGGCTCCCAGCGAACGAGAACATCACCTACCATGCAGGTTCCCTAGAGAGAGACCTGGAGATGCTTTCGGACAAGGTGAGCGGCTACTACACGGTGCTTCACGAGATGTCAATAGGCTGCAGTTATTTAGGGTAGATCAGTCTGGGTCAGTTGATTTCGCAATGTAATGATCCCAAAATAGATGTATGTAGAGTTATATACACACAAATACTCTTCGGTGGATTAAAGAAGCTAATCAAGGGATCCTGCACAGCGCTTGTCATTCCACAAATGGGGTTCCCGTTGCACATGAACATATATCCCCAAAAGCCTCGAAGGGCCCTTAATTTCAGGAAGCCTTTACAATCCCATGCAGTAATCCCAGGGGCTCAAAAGGAACAATAGCCAAAAAGTAGATTGGATCTTTCGCTTGAAGCCCTTTATCAGCAGACCCCGGAAGTTATCCCTTCAGAAAAACTTGTGCTGGAATAAACCTTGAACCCTCGCAGTACTAATCGAAGTTCCTGGGTAAACCCTAGGCCCGAAAGTCCGACCTCCCCACTTTTAAGGGTTGACAGATCCAACATCCCATGCCCACAACCTAAATTTAGGATTTTACCCAAAGCCATATTCCCTCTATAACCCAAGTATCCCAATATATTATAGTAGTTTCCATTTTCTTCTCCATTATCCCAATATTACCCCAAACTATACCCTATAATCCTTATATGACTCCTTTATAGTAGTTTCCATTTTCTTTTCCATTATTGTCCCAATATTACCCCAGAAGGTACCCTATAAGCTCTATAAAACCCCTATATAATCCCTATAGTTTCCATTTTCTTTTCCATTCTTGTCCCAATATTACCCCAGAAGGTACCCTATAAGCTCTATAAAACCCTGTATGATCCCTATAGTTTCCATTTTCTTTTCCAGTATTGTCCCAATATTACCCCAATAT